AAAGTAGTAATAGAAGCATTTGTTTCTATTAATCTTATTATATCATTCATTCAATATATATTTTTTTGGAGGGGGGGGGGGTTCTTGATTTTATCAAAATCGAATTACTAAACCAATTCATAAAGACAAATGTTTCAGCTGAACCCAATGTCCATGAACTATTTAGAGGTGAAGCTGTATAGGCCTGAGAAGACAGTTAATTTCAACCAAGTCCTGTCTTTCAGTTGCCCTATAGATAAGCTACGATTTACGACGACTGTATATGTCCATTGAGTCAGGTCAGGCCATTCAGCCTGCCACCAGTAAAACGTGACCACGTGCAATGGTCCTGAAGCTGGAGCCAACCTGCACTGAACGTGCGTGGTGAGTTAGGGTTCAGCCCCGCACCGACAACACTCAAAGCTTGGAGAAGTCTTTGGAGGCCATCTGCCAGAAGCTGCAGTGGTGAATGTGGCAGGCTGGTTATTGATTGATTGATTGTTTATGACAAAATGCGGTATAACAATCAGAGGATGATTCTGCCATGACAAACGACCGTTGCACACCTTACATCTGCAAGTGTTCCCAAAACAAAAATAGTTCCTCTTTTAATCACTTTTTGTGGTTGACAGCGGATATTAAAACAGGTTGGTAATTTAGAGACATGTAGGTTATTTCCCAGTACACGTATCTCACTTTTATCATAATTGGCGTTGATACATGTAGCAATCCGTGGTATATAGAAAAATTGGTAAGTCCGTACGTATTTCATATATATCATTCAAGGTACAAGCGTGTGGTCCTTTTGACATATTTGGAATTGTGCCAGGGGTTTGGTATGTGCGTGTCTTTAAAGGATGACAATGTGATTTCCTTAATTATTAAAATTAAGGTTGTTTTTATGAGTAACTTATGTAACGCGGAGCTCTTGTTGCACGTATGAATTGGTGATTTCCTTATTTATAGCTTTATAATTTGGGTGGCGTCAATGTTTTTACCCGTAAAGAAATGTGTGCATTATTGCACATGATTTTGCTAGTTTCGAAGTGCGTGCATTTATGTGTGTGTGTGTGTGTGTGTGTGTGCGTGTGTGTGTGTGTGTGAGAGAGAGAGAGAGAAGGAAAGAGAGAGGAAAATACCAGTAGATGAAGTAAGAAAGGAAGAAAAAGATCATCATCAATTATCTGAAATATGTAAGATTGTGCGTTTTCTTTTAGCACCTGGGTTTCTTTTCTTACGTTGACACATGATCAATAGCTACAGATATATATTTCGCCTATTACTGATTCATGGCAAACATTAAAAAATTATAGATACTGTTTCATTCCAATTGAAATGTAATACTAAAGAGAAGTCATAATTACACTACCGGTAGGTGTGTGTAATTGCCACCAGAGTGAAGGGGTGTGTTGCTTGTTTCCCTTTTTTTAATAAAACATAATATGTATGGCATCCCAGGAATTTACTGATTATCTGCGTTTTTCCCTGAAACGGTGATATTAATCACATTTGAGAATCACATTCATTTATGAATGATCGACCATTTTGAATGCGTCATTGTAAACAATTTAATTAATACTATTTTCATCGAGTACCTTTTTTCGCTCTTGGTATCTAAATATTGGAGGAGTTATTCTTCCAGAATTCGCATTTTCTACTCCTGAGATATGTATGGTCTTATACCCTGGGCACGCCCTTTAGAACATGAATAGCCATAAAAAGCGGCTAACAAAAATTGTTTGTTTAGCGTTGATACATTCAAACGAGGGTTGAAATGCGGTCGTGAGTCATGTTGGATCAGAATGAGAGCTTCGGGAGAAGGACAGCAAATAATTGATAAGAGTGCGTTTTTCAACGACTATACATCAAACATTTAACGCTGGCAGTTTGTAAAAAACGTGGGTGTGGTAGAGAGAGAGAGAGAGAGAGAGAGAGAGAGAGAGAGAGGAAGAAGAGCACCTATACAATACATCAAACATTCCACATCAAAATATCAGGTCCCACAGAAAGTTTCCTGTTATTAATTAATAATTGATTCTCCATATCAAATTCCAGATTCCATGCAATTTTTTCACATTCTTCGTGATTCACGCAACACCAACGCCAATTCAAGAAGAAAAATTAATCATCATCTGCAGTAAACAAATTGTTTACTTGACCCCAGCTTTTCCTTAATCTCTGGCTGCAAGCGCATGATTTAAATGGCAAAAAAAGGCCTAGGCTGCTCGTCATTATTTCCTGTAATACCAAGCCGAGTATTTGAAAGAACGGAATTCACATCAACGTTGCCGACGTGGGCAAAAAATGAACTCGAATGCCGACACCTCTTGCACACGAGTGCACCAGTTGTAGAAAAAAATTAATCGCACTTAACTCGATAACAAATGTTTTTCATTGTATAGATTTTGAATCCCACTGAGTGGTAATGTTCAATTCACACTGCAGTCTCAAACCTACTTGAGAGAGGCAAAAAAAGAAACGGCCATACACTTATACATGCAATTAGCGCTTAAACACTGGCGTATTCAATACACAGTAACGTTTGGAGTAGGAAGATGAAAAAATCGTTTGGTTTTGTATCGTTTTGTTCGATGTACAGTTTTTTAGGGGATGGTGGGGTTGGGGTAGTTAAGGGGGTAGAGATGCCTCAAAAGCAAAGAGGAGGGTTTACATAATGCTGTGCTCTCACCCAATCGACCCGCCCGTGAGTTTATGCCGCCATGATGTTTTGTCACCAGGGTGGCCAACCAAAGCGCTCTTATACTCTCCTCGCCCCTGTTTATTTAGTAAAATCAAAACTCCTCTGAGGCGCTTGTCGCCTGTTACAGCATTTTGCGAGGTTTATCCACTAATGAGAGAAAAGAGAGAGAGAGAAAAAAAAGAGAGAAAGTGTTCCATACGCCTCAAGTCATAATAGAAACGACCGGGATAGGCTTTAAGCAGCTCTTTGAAGCAGAAAATCAGGGAAACAGTTCTTACGGAAGCCGAGGGTTCGGTGTTCGATAACTACATGTATCTGCTCTAGAAAACATTTTTGTCTTAAAAGTGACTCTATATCACACCCACCGCATTATCTGATGAAAGATTGTTCTTAGGTACTTAATCCGAGAGTGGTGAAACAAGTAACTCTGAGTTAAGTTGTTGTTTGATGAAAATATAATTGTAATTTTGAGTGAGTATTGCAAAACTTTTTTGAATACACGAGAAACATGTTGTTGAAGTAAGCCTGTAATTTGAAAATTACTGAATTTAACACGTTATTCTACTGTATATAAATACTAGCTGCAAAATTAGGGAAATTGAAGCAAAACTCTAACATCTGTTGGTGGATTTGGAATTCTTTTATATTTCGTACATGTAAGTGTATTTGTTTGTTACCGAGGCTGAGTGAGGGTGTAAGCCCCAGCGTGAGCGTGTTTGAAAAAAAAGAAAGAAACGCAGAGACACAGAAAAAGATGTTTTTGATCCTAGAGAAACCAATTAATTAATTTTTTATCGTATCCAATATTAACCTCACTAATAACACTAACAAAGAAAAAAGAAAGAAAACAATAGTCGAACACCAATAATGAGTTAGCAAATGAATAAATGAATGGATTAAATTGAGAATTTTAAAAAAATGTAGCGTCAAGAAGTACGAAAAAAAGAAAAAAAAAACCCTCAGTGTCTGTCAGTGTAATTGTTCAAAGCTCTGCGGTCTCGAGACGCAGTGATGAACACATTGTTTGTCAGTTATCGGATAAAACTCACCCCTAGAACGTGACGACCCATTGCTTATCTCCCAACTTCACACCAATGCCGTTAGCTAATCGCGTTAGCACGAGACAGAAAGGAGGAAAAAATTCATGTCTTGCGTTAGCCATTTTATCTAAATTTAGCTGCAGATTTGCAAAATCTGAATGGATACCGGTATAACTAGGCTGAATAATTCACGTTTTTTTTTACATTTAACAGAAAAAAACACTATGAATCCCATCCCAATCATGCACTTAATTAAACCACANTGTTAGCTAATCGCGTTAACATGAGACAGAAAGGAGGAAAACATTCATGTCTTGCGTTTGAATTTTATCTAAATATAGCTGCAGATTTGCAAAATCTGAATGGATACCGGTATAAATAGGCTGAATAATTCACGTTTGTTTTGACATTTAACAGAAAAAAAAAACACTATGAATCCCATCCCAATCATGCACTTAGTTAAACCACCCAATTTACAGGATAGTACTCTTTTCTTGCTTCGGAAAAAATAAAGAGAAAATGTTTCTTGTGTTGAAAGTTGACTAGCATTAATAGTTGCTAGAAAATTCAGACCTCGCCGCCAGATCCAAATTATACAAAATGACGGAGAGAAGAAGAATTGCCTGCACCTCAACTCCCCATCCCCCACCCCAACATACACACACAGACCCCCCACACACACACACTTTGGTGTGATATAAAAAGTGTACTTGTTCAAGTGCACTCAAAAGCGCTTATGTAGGCCCGATCTATATGTATCCTGCTTCCCTTTATTCATTTCAATTTTAATCCAGTATTTTTTTTTTGAAAGGGGTGACTGTATTTTGCTCTCCACAACCTCTATTGTTCTTTGAAACAGGGGTACAGTAATTTCAATGCTGATTGAGATCGTCACTTGCGTGGTTAACAGCTTCCAATTTAGAGCATTAATGAGCGTTCCACTGTTTGTGAACTCCGGTGGCTCTATTAAGTCGATCCCATTTTGCCTGTTCAACTTCTCAACCCCAATCAAACGGACATCAGTCCGCATGCCGATCAGGCTCTTTCATCGCAGGGACTGGCTGCCTCCCGCTGTATGCACCGCCCATCGGAAGAAAGCATTCCAAATATGGTCACGGGAACGCATGCTATGATTCCATATATGGACAATGTCCGGCCCCCGGGATTTGACGTCACTTCTGGGAGATTCCAGGGGTATACTATGTCGGAAACATTCTAGTACCAGAAAAACCTAATTTTATTTATAGCTCAAATTGTTATGAAAAGGTATAAAAGCATCTGAAAAGACCTGTAACTGCACAACTTCAAGTGGAAGTGTACAAGATAGAACGCGAATCACAAGAAGGGAAGATTTATAGAGTTGAAAGCAGCAGACGATAGTTCTATAAGAAATTGACTTACAATAAAGAAGGACTGCTTAGGATATTTTCCAGACTTTAATTCCAATTTCAGTTATCTCTTTCTACAGTCACTTTACCATGGATCTCAGGCATATTGTACTAGCAGTGGCAGCGGTTTGCTCAATGGTAAGTATTTTTACAGTACATTTTAGTATTCTTGTGTTCAAAACTATTTTGAGCGCTGTGGAACATATGTTACATATAGTTAAGTGTACAGAAATTCAATAATAGCAAAATATTGGTCCCATGTTAATATATTGGATTTACTCTATATGATTTCTTGCGTTGCGAAAAGGCAATCTCAATGCACACAACCACTTGCAGATTTTAAATTAAAAATCATTGATGCAAACTACGTGCGTTGTATAACATTTTAAAATTCGTTATCCTTTTCAAAATATGATAAGAAACAAAGTAGTCAGACGAGAAAGACAGAAAAAAACACATCAGTTCTCGAATTTAAGTCACAAAGAGCATGTGTATTTGCCACCAATATCCGCTTTACGATTCATTATTTTTCATATCCTTCCTATATTTCAATCTAACTGCAGTGTTCATTTGTAATGGTTTCATGAGTAGTTAAATCCTTTATTTCAATCTAAATTTCACCTCGACCATGGGTCGTACTTGACCGGCTTACAACAAGATTTCATAAATAATATACGTTATTTCTAAAAGACAAATCAAGTGATGTTTTGATACCTTTTGACTGAATTTTTGTCACGGTTCATATGTTGGAAATCCCCACCAGTGTTCTGCACTACGCTTTTTGCTGACGACGAATGAGTGTTAGTACAGTTCTAGTATACGCTGGCGCTATAAATTTCCTCGCCCTTGTTGGTATTAATTTAGGTTAGCAAGCCGTGACATACGTTATGACCTCGGAGTGTTTATCGCTTGGTAAACTTCATTGCCCTCTCACTTGGCAGGCGTGTGCCGCTTAACTATCTAAACTTTCCAGACCAAAGGCACGGACTATTGTAAATCTTACTCTAAAACTAGTATGTTGACTCCATACAAAAGAAACATGCTTAATCATGGTTAATTGTATTACTATTTATATTATTTCCCGTTTTCGTTACGGGCAAACAAAGTCTATACTTTTGAGATATCTATTTGCAGTGTTTTGCAATATATTAAATTGGTAAATGACTATTTGTTTCTCAATTCATCAATAGCTAGCTTGAAGTGTTTCTTCTCATACCGGCTGTTATCTCGATTATAATTTATGATTTTTATTTGACCAGGCGTCTGCGGCGAGTGTTTCAAAGAGGGCAGAAGAAAAAAGTAAGTATTTGCTTTAACTATATGAAGCGAGATGTGCTTGTAGTAGTATCGTGGTATTGTGTTTTCTAATTTATATTTAAGTGGGCCGAAAAAAGAAAAATTGTTTCTGCCGTTAAACACTATTTTACAGGAATGGGAACCTATCTATATAAACATAAATATACATAGTTATATCTACATAGATTAAAAACAATTTATACTCCGGTTTGGCTTTTTTATTTTAAAGCCTTTATATCACGTAGATTTTCGCAATGAATAAGTGTAAGTACCCAATTTCTTAAGGATAAGAAAACTACGTTGGGAAAGGACGTAAGAATGCTCTGGTCCTGCTATTAGTTCCCTCAGATCGGCATGCAACTCGGTTTTGTAAACAATCTAGAAGAAAAACAAAAGCAATTTGCTCGCGTTTGGTTACAAATGTGCACGTGTCCGGGGTGAGGCTGATGGTATAAGTATAAATCTCTATTTTATTCAGTCATATCGGTGAGAAAAAAAAAAACGTGGTAAACATGGATATAAAGGGCATCCGTTTTAGGTACAATTTTCAAAAAAAAAAATGCGGCAACCTAAATTTGGTGGATCTTATAAGTGTTTTTTTAATCCTTGAAACCAACATTTACATGTAAATCAAATTGTAATTCAGAGGGAAGCTTTTCCGGTCATTTTGACGGTCCGTTTCTTATCCCCCGAACCAATAGCAACCGGGTTCGGGCTCTGTGCGGGCGTGTGGGAATTCTAATAGATTCATTGTCTTTTGCCTTCAGTTTGCGGTAAACCATCAGACATCATCTTTGTCATCGACGCCAGCAGCAGCATTTGGCCACCACACTTCACAAAGCAGCTCAAATTCATCCAAAACGTTGTCGACCAATTCAACGTCAAGGATGATGGTTCAGGGACCCGGATAGGGGCCGTGGTGTTCAGCAACGCCGAGCTGACCAGGGTAGCGTTTGACCTCAACGACCACTTCGGTAAAGCCGCCTTAAGGAAGGCTATTGAAGGTATTAAGCAGATGGGCGGGAATACATACACGGATACTGCTTTGGAAATGGTGCGCACGAAGCTGTTGAACAAGGCAGCAGGTGAGTGTGTCAGAGGGCAAGGGTCAAGGTCGCAGGTCAAGGTCGTTGATTACGGGTGTGTTTGTGTCAAGTAAAGACCATGTGTGGGGTGAGCCTTTAGGTTGGGCAGTATGGCTGGTTCTCCCGTAATAACTGATAATGTTGTTAAAATTTAATAAGAAGTATGTGATATAGGTGAGCTATAAAGAGGTGCGTGGGAACGGAAATGAGGGATGAGATAAACGACTTCCATCAACTATATTTATTAAAATAGCATCAATACTTCTGTATTTCATTACTGCTTCGTGAAAATATACGTGTATGTAATCGAGTCTTAGTTCTATATCTCTTTCATTCTACTAGAGTCACCTAAACCCAACTACCTAATCAAAATATGGCTACTTTTTCCTAGGTGCTCGAATGCACAGTGAAGTTCCACAAATCGTGATCGTGATGACAGATGGCGTTTCACAAGACCCGCCCGAGACTGCAAGACAAGCCCAGCTAATCAAGGATATCAAAGGTGTTAAGATAATCTCTCTTGGCATTGGATTGAAGGTAATTCATATATTTCTTGTTTAGAAATCAATCATTATAGGCATAATATTGTTCATTCGATACGTTTCTTGTTACGACAAAAAATGAGAGTTAAAAATCCAGTTTGCTACTTGGTATATCTGTTCATTAAAGAGTGTGTTAAACAAAACAGAAATCTAATATTGCGACACGTACTATATTTCATCACTCCGTAGCTTCAGTGATTAACCCATCTTCCACTACAAAACACAACATAGAAGCAAAACGAGACAAAACCGAGCATTTTTGGCCATCCCCGTGCCTATATATCAATCACTGAATGTGCCCTCGACAACTGTTTTACATGTAACCCCCTTAGTAAAATCTGAGCAGTGTAAACCTTATGTTACCATAGATGTTCAGCATGCTACATTAGAATGATATAGACTATACTTGAACGATTATGAAAGAGGAAAATGGTTTATTTACATTGTACGTTTTCGAGGCTGTTCGTTTTATCGCGGAATGAGAGCTAACAAGTTGTAATTTCCTGACTGTGCTTCAGGTCAGAATTTATTACATGATCAGGTGACAAGTATCATGTCGATGAGTGCTTCCTTGATCATAAACGTGCTGTCAGTTTTAATACTTTATGGAGGGAGGAGGGGGGGCAAGAGTAAAAGAATCTGATACAGCACACGAGGAAAAGTTACTGAAATATGTAGGCAACAGAAGTGGTGTTTTATTTTTTCTTTTTTATTGTGTATTTGAACATTTTTTATACCTTATTTGGGAAGGGAAAACGGGAGAAAGGGGGTAGGGGGATTTTACTTTTTTTTTGGGGGGGGGGGGCAGGGGGGGTGCACACGCGTCCTCCTGTTTTTCCCCTTTGAATTTGCCATTAATTTTGCGGTGAACTCTTCATGTCCTCTCTTGATTTAGGTTTGGCACCCTTCAAGTAACAGCTTGTAATTTCCGAATGGGGTGGAGGAACTGTTGTACATTGAAAAAAGAAAAAAAACATGGTGTTAAGTTAACTTGTACCGCATCATTAATAACAGAATTTGCAGGAATATCAGCTAAGATCGCTCCATTAATCATCTGCAACAGTTAGTCTGTCGTTTACTTGGAACTAAATAAGGCAACATCTGACTGCATTTTAGCTAAGGGCGCGATAATATGTGTGTTAAGAGCCGGTAATATCCGCTAAGGGTGAAAAGTTGTAAATTATCCTCAAATTCCGCGCTAATGAAAATGTCTAAAAGCGAGAAGGGTCATCCATCATTTTTGACACTCAATTACAACATAACATGTATATTTACTAGTATATTTTAGATTTCATTAAACTGAGCGAGGAAAATATTGTAGGTTTATGATGCCAAGGCTATAAATTATAGTGAAAGTTGTGCGCATACTCGACAAGGCAGAAAGAAAAAAAAATCAGTACCCACGAAATGAAATAATAGACTAGACAATATTTTTGCAGGTGGCTTCATATATGACGTTGTTAAGTTTGGTTCAAGTTTGACAATTACTGTGAAATTTCAATTTCAATGACTTTTTTTTTGCTAAAAACAATTTGTTATTAATTTCTTCTCGTTGCTGTATTAAATAAGTTATATCTCGATCGAACCTAGAGGTACCGGTACATGTACCCAATTTAAAAGCGATTAATCATTTATGATTCCCACAGGTAAACATGGGTGAAATAATGGATCTTGCCAGTGAACCCAAGGACCACAACGCCTTCACAGTCAACAGTTATGATGGGCTGGAAAGCATCAAAAAGGAACTCGCCATTGAGGCCTGCCCGGAAGTCCTCCCGCCGTGTGACGTCACCACAAATTGCGGCATCAACAAAACTGCTGACGTGGCGTTTGTGTTGGGCGAGACGGTCACGAGGTCTGGGGTGTCGACAGGGAGGGCGCTGGATTTTGTGAAAAACGTCACCGCAGACATGCACATTGGCCCGAACGAAATTCGAGTTGCTATGGTTCCGAAGGAGTGCAACACACCCGGGTATCACTTCAACGAGTATTCAACTTACGAATCCATGGTGGGTCACATGGACAAATACAAGGTAATAAAATTGTTTGTAGAAATGTTGACATTGCCATTTATTAATATTTAAAGCGACTGGAATGCCGATAAGTTCAGGTGATAAAAATAATTTAGAAGTCAGCTACTTTGATTCGGCGAAATAATAAAACAAAGCCGCTTTTGTTGTTTCCAACATAAAACGGAATGAAAAATCAGGAACTGAGAAGGTCATTATTTATATCTTTTGAGTCTTTTAAACATTTTTTTCTCACATACACATCGCTTTTGTATTTCAGAAAATTGAGCAGACCACAGCTGCGCGTCTCAGATACATGACCCGTGAAACCTTCAGCGTCCGAAATGGCGCACGAGCTGGAGTGAGGAAAATCGCAGTGGTCATTGTCGATGGGAAATCTGAAAACAGACCTGCAATCTATGCTGCTGCTAAGGCCGCCAAACAGGCGGGGGTGGAGCTGATTGCCATCGGCGTGGGTGATAATATCGAGCCAAAGGAACTCGGCATCATTGCTACGTCACGAAGACACGTGATCAGGCTGCAGGATTACTCCCAGTTGAGGGGACAGCTCAGGAGACTCTTCTACAGAGTCGTCTGCAAAGGTGCGTTAATAATATAGAAATACCGGGTTTTCCGCCATTATTTCATTCCTCTTGAAAAACATAGCTCTTTCTAATATACTATAGGCCTATCACAATAGGCCTACAGCTGTTAAAGTATGTAAGCGGGTATCCAACTGAAGGTTTGTAATGGTGCATTTTAGTACCACGTGTCTACGCCAATTGATCATATACATGTAGGTAGACACATGTGCAGGTTCCCAATATCGTTATACATGTATCAAATAATGTTTATTCAGTTTGAAACCAGGATATGCATTTGTTTTTATACATTTTGAATATCCATTTATTATCATCACTTGGCAATTGCTTTTATCGTTTGCTTTAATTGAAAAAACCTTTATTCTCAGGTGGAGTAGACCCCGACCCTGATGACAGGTGCGACAAAGAGGAAGAAGAAGAAGAAGACAATAATGCACTTCCATCAGGTTTCAGCAACTTCCGGGGCAACATTCCGCCAGGATACCCGTACTAAGACAGGACCAATCAATAGCTACTATCCAAGCTGGGCAGCAAACATTTACAGCTTATAACAATTTATCTCTAATATGATTATTAATGTTGACATCCAATGTCCTTAACTGTTTGGTTTAATATTTTATGATTGTGATTTTTACACAACCAACTTATGTGAAGAATTCTTTATTGACATTCAATATTTAACACTGATGTTGTCATGTACTACTTTTAATGACAGTTATTCTAATGGATGAACATTTATATGTTTAATTATTTTTATTATAACTATTTACTGGACATTGCTAATATTAGGCTGTGACTATTACTGGATAACGACTGTCTTAGCTCTGAACTTGATAATTCGCATCTTAATAATGAATTTATATAGCTTAGATTTTGTGCAATTCAAATAATCTGAATTTGACGAGGCTGAAATCATTAAATAAGCATCGCCTTAATTTAAAGTTATTGTGCAATATGAAGCCGTTTATGAATTATTGGACAGCTGATCTCGACTCTCTGCACGAGACCTTTTTTGTTGCTATATGCAGCTGTTTTGAGACAAAAAACTTTCACTTAAGCCAGATGTTTTTGCACCACTTCCGGTTACCACTTTTAACGTTTTTTTTTTGTCATAACCATTGTGCGTTATATATATTTATATATAACTTTTTTCAATTAATAATTAAATTTTTATTAGAAATGCATATGTTTGATCTGTATTATGATTTTTAATTCCTACTTTTAATGAAAAGACCAAAAGTAGTAGACCAAAATGTTTTCAGGCATACTTTTTTAATCGATTTTTCATTCCATTTATTGTTTTATATATTAATTCTTAATCTATAATCTTTAAGTATGATTATTAAAAGAAACAGGAAAACCTACCGATTAAGGTTTGTTTCTTATAACTGGCTAATTAGAAGTATCTAAATGTAGCTAATTATGACAGAAAGAAAATTTATATTCTCCGATGTGCCTTTTGATTTGAACTTCAATTATTCCTAATTTCAACAATTTCATGTTTTTTTCTACTTTTACTAGTAAGCATACAAACAATGTAACAGTGTTAGTTGGCCAACCAAAACTCTATGATGCGATGGTTGGATTTCATGAATAAACACGTATTTGATTAGCAAAAAACATTAATCTTTTGTTTGTTCAAAACGAAGAGAAATGACGTGCAAAACAGACGAGGTTACTTCGCTTATATGAAAGTGTGAAAATCACACATTAGATTTATGATAATCATGATACATGTATTTCCCTGATATGTATAATTTAATAAAATGTTAAAATAATGTAATGGCTCTATATTTGGATAAACTGAATTTAGACTTTTTGTGATACTGACCACTGCTGAAAAATTATGGTTAAAAATATGGTACTCACAAGAGCTTAAAATGTGGTAGGTGAGACGAGAATCGATATTCAGAGAGATTTGAATGCTGTAGGAGAGACAACACGTAGATTCTGTTGGGGAGGTAGAGAATATACCTGTACTTACCCGCGTAATCACTGATGGATATAGGATTTTGCACGTGGGGACTGGGTGGGTGGAGGGGCACAAAAATCTCAGCATATTTGAAGAAGAAGACGAAGTCAAATTAACTGAAATAAAATGGGCAACAAAGAAAAAGTTGACCGAGTCCGTTTGATGTACTTTATTTAGTTATTGATTTTTTTTTTTTTTTTTGGGGGGGGGGGGGATGGCAACTAAAAGAGAGAGAAAGATGGCGCCACTGTGCCTCCTCAATCCGCCTCCTCAATCCGCAGTTATAAATGTCCACAATGACCTAGACAGGTCACTGCATGGTGTCAAACTTGTATTCTCACCCGGTTGCAATCACAGTAAGCTACGTGGATGGAAGTACTGCTCAGTGTAGCTAATAAGGCATGCTAGACTGTGTAACGGCACAGGTAAAGGTAATTCGCTAGATATTGACGTATGCATGTGAAACACTTCTAAGGGGTTAGCTTGACCTAATAATAATAATAATAATAATAATAATAATAATAATAATGAAAACAATAATAATAATCAATGATTAATTTGCTTATACATTGCTTTATAAGAAGTGACCTCTGTACCAACATATATAGCATTCACATCATTTAGTGTCCAACTTCTTCACAAAGAAAGTTCTTTTTGTGTAGATCAATAGATTCTGAATGCCTTTCACTTACTTGGTGACTGTTTCATACGGGTTCTGTGATCACTTAATCACATCTCAAATTCGAGTGGTATAGATAGTATTGTATGGACCTACACAAAATTACTTCTTTCAGCATTACAACATGAGCTCTCATGAAGTTGTTCGGATTTCACAGAATTTGAACAAAATGTCCTTTAGAAATCCGATATGACAAGAATGGTAGTCCGCTAGGAACCGTAGTCCGTTCACCAATACTTTGTACAGGCGACATTCGTCCTACATGCCAACTCCAGTAGTCCGACTTACCCTAACTCCATACTAATCATATGGGCTTTCATGAGTGGGCTTTTTTCAAAGTAAAATGATATAAATAAATAAATAAATAAACAGGTGTTTTATTCAAGCGGTTTAATAACTGTATTGAATGATAAATTTATTGATTAATTCATTAATCTTAATCAATACTTTAACTAATTACCGTTTTTATATATTATAAAGATATAAAATCGATCTTCAATGAAATATTAAAATCAGAATAAACAGTTGAGCAACCTCTGTGTCAGAAGAAACTGTTAATTGATATTTCAGATAAAATAGGCATCGCTCTCAACAAATCGTCATAATGAAAAAATATACTGTCAAAATTAGAAACATAGGTATCAATGGAAGTCAATTGTCACCGCCTACGCAGAGTTGTCATCAGGTTTTTGGTCATTAGATGTATGTGTCTGTATTAGTCAGGTAAAAAACCCACAATGTGTCATTTGAGGATATTTATCATGATGGTCGCGTCATTAGTCTCACATTGACCTCTTTTACGGAACTAAATCACACGCTCTATGCGTCTGCAATATGCAGGTATGTTGATCGAAAACGAGGTTTTGGTGTAGAAAATGACTTATTCGGTTATTTTTAACTTGTGACACTCAGAACTAGGAACTAACAATAAAAGTGATACAAGGAAGAGGTGAACTTAATGGATAGCGTCTCATCCGTCCTGAAGTATTTGGGTACTTTAAGTGTGTCATCAGTTATACATTTTTAATATATAGACAGACGACAGCACAGCAGTTCCAGTTCTGTAATTCAGGTACGCTTTTTACATACACACTGCACCTGTATGTTGAACGTACAGGTACAGTATATTGTTCAGTATATTGGGCAGATGTACAACTGACTATTTCCAGTACAGGTGCATGTCGACAGTTACTGCAGGCCTGTGTGTATAGCTATGTACATTGTACGATGACATGAATATGCCGGGGTGCACTGTGTATGGTACAGTTAGTTGTACATGTAGCTGTACGGGGAATGTGACACTTTATATAGAATGAGATAGCGCATTAACATGCACAGGTAGGCATACAAGTCACAAGTCGCATTAAATATTAATTAAGTTGTATAGTTCAGGTACTAATACAGATGTATTTTAGTGTAGCTCTCAATGTCCCCACATATTGTGCCTTACTTAGCCTATTCCGTACATTTAGGTCTGTTGAAAAGTAATCGTAGCGTTTTTTGACAGCCCGTTTTGTAAGGCCTCGGGACAATATTTCAATCATACTGGTGTTTGACAATCCGATCTTCTTTGTCCTTGGCTGTTGTAAACATGTATCTACAGGAGGTGGATGTCAAGAACATATAAAACACCGCGTGATGGATGTACGCAATGTGTCTTTTTATTAACAGGTGCCTATACAACAATGAACTAGCACATATAGTACATCAGTTTCGTATGTGTTTTATATGTGTTGAATACTTTTAGTACATTGACCAAGAGGTCACGGGGCGTTCTTCTCCCTGTCCTTGTCATGGTTTACTACATTTATTTAGGTCGGCGTGTACTTGTACACCTTGTGACATGATTCAGTAAAGTGTGTAGGCGAGAACGAAAATCACTTTACAAAACGCAGACAAAATACAGTAACTCAAAAATAATAATAAAATAAAAAATAAAGTAAATAATAAGTATCAAGGATAGAAAAATACATATAAAGGTATACCAACTCATGTGTCTGTGGGTTCACACACATTTAATGTCTGTTTTGACACCTTGTTATACTTATATCCCTGCGGTTAATTTGGATGACTAACACATACGTGTATCTTTAACTTACAATGTGGGCTGAACAGTGACCTGGTTGTATTAATACCATATTACGAGGCAGATAGGGCACTAGTAGTCATTACACTTCCAGCTGATTTATTTTTATATAAAATTAGTTTATATAAATACAGATGCACGGTGTCATAATACATGTACCCACCGAATCTACTAGGAATTATGTGTTACGTTTATATATTTTCATTTTCAATATAATAATAATTATTATTATTACTATATTATTATTATTATTGTTATTTTATAATTATGACGGATATATATTTTTTTCTGAAAGAAAAACGCTTCGGCTAGTTATGGTAAGGTACTATTCTGTAAATCCAGCATTCATGTACCTAGTTACTACATGAGCTTCACCTCTTTTGATTGATTTCAGATGTGCAGAAATGAGCGAATTACCCGACTTTTCACTACCATCATCCGAATTCGGGCGGGGCGTCTCCGCGACAACATCCGAGATTGACAGCACCACGTGCAGCACCGTGAATTCTGGTGCATGTAGCCGCACAGAAACTAGAGAGGAGACATGGAATACATGTAGGTATTTACAAAAAAAAAAAAAAAAAAAATGTTGCCACCTACATGTTGTTATGGCAAGTCAAGTTATATAAAATTTAATCATTCTTTCTATAAAGTTTTTTCTTTCTATAAAGTTTTTTACTGTCATTTTGAAGACGGTATTGGTTTACTTTACATGTATGTTCCATACTCATACTCAATTGACCCAAATTTCTCTATAAAGAGTAAAAATATCTGAAAAAATTGTTATTTCATACTCAGTATTTCATTCATCAGTACATTTTCGCTCTATTAATTATTCGTAATTCATTTTGCATTTTGATGAATTCGTTTAATATTTCAGCGAAAACATTTAGGCAAGATTTTGATTTTGATCGCTTGGGTCAAAAGTTAATATCCGCTTTAATTTATTCCAGTGATTAACAAACCTATTCCCGAAGCAATAGCGCCAGGCAATATAATAGAAGAAATCATGTTCAGCGAAAAAACTTCAGTCATGTCCAGGGATGTTGTCCACTCTTCAGAATATGCATGCGTTAACAGTCCGGATATCCGGAAACTCTCCGACGACTTTGACAGCACAGATTCGGAATTTACAGCAGAAAATGTCATCGCAGCTGATGAAAGGTTGCGTGTCACGCCATGCACGTCACAACCGTACAGGTGGATTTGTTATTTAGAAATAACAACCGTAACTGGACTTACGTACAAAGGAACAGGGTTTTTCAATACTATGTTAGGCCCTGGGAAACCTGGCCTGATCCTGACGTGTGCGCACAATTTGTACATCCACAATCATGGAGGCTATGCAAAGAAGATCAGAGTGTACCCTGGAAGAGACATGGGGAACACTCCATACGGGCACTTCACTGTGTATCCGGAGTGTTTCAAAGTCCCGGATGCTTGGCTAGAATCCAAATCACCAGAGTACGATTACGGGGCTCTTTTCGTCACAGATCCAAACCTTATCCCTAAAGCGGTGTACGGTTTTGGATATAGGCTTCTAGATGATTCTGATTTAGAAAAACGTGTGATAACAATAGCTGGTTACCCTGGCGATAAACCGGATGGTACTCTTTGGGTTGCCGGGGGAACGATTGGTCGCGTGTTGCCGTATGCCGTCCATTACGACAACGACACGGAAGGAGGTCAAAGCGGTAGCCCCGTGTGGACTTGGGACAAATATAACTGGATGGTGGTCGGAATTCACGGATATGGAGGAAGCATGCGGAACTCAGCTCGTCGGCTGACAGCGGACTTGGTCAGGCAGGTTTACGCTTGGTCTGAGGATTTGCCCACGGCAACAAGTGACCGACATTCAATGACCTCTTTTCGCAGTAGTAGTTATCGTTGGATGAGGATCACAAGTAGAAGTGGGAGAGAAACAACTGTTTAATGAGATTATTAGACACGTGAAGTTTTATGACATCACAAAATGCACACGTGTTGGCGTGGACAGAAACTTGTTTATCTGTCTATATNTTTTTTTCTGAAAGAAAAACGCTTCGGCTAGTTATGGTAAGGTACTATTCTGTAAATCCAGCATTCATGTACCTAGTTACTACATGAGCTTCACCTCTTTTGATTGATTTCAGATGTGCAGAAATGAGCGAATTACCCGACTTTTCACTACCATCATCCGAATTCGGGCGGGGCGTCTCCGCGACAACATCCGAGATTGACAGCACCACGTGCAGCACCGTGAATTCTGGTGCATGTAGCCGCACAGAAACTAGAGAGGAGACATGGAATACATGTAGGTATTTACAAAAAAAAAAAAAAAAAAAATGTTGCCACCTACATGTTGTTATGGCAAGTCAAGTTATATAAAATTTAATCATTCTTTCTATAAAGTTTTTTCTTTCTATAAAGTTTTTTACTGTCATTTTGAAGACGGTATTGGTTTACTTTACATGTATGTTCCATACTCATACTCAATTGACCCAAATTTCTCTATAAAGAGTAAAAATATCTGAAAAAATTGTTATTTCATACTCAGTATTTCATTCATCAGTACATTTTCGCTCTATTAATTATTCGTAATTCATTTTGCATTTTGATGAATTCGTTTAATATTTCAGCGAAAACATTTAGGCAAGATTTTGATTTTGATCGCTTGGGTCAAAAGTTAATATCCGCTTTAATTTATTCCAGTGATTAACAAACCTATTCCCGAAGCAATAGCGCCAGGCAATATAATAGAAGAAATCATGTTCAGCGAAAAAACTTCAGTCATGTCCAGGGATGTTGTCCACTCTTCAGAATATGCATGCGTTAACAGTCCGGATATCCGGAAACTCTCCGACGACTTTGACAGCACAGATTCGGAATTTACAGCAGAAAATGTCATCGCAGCTGATGAAAGGTTGCGTGTCACGCCATGCACGTCACAACCGTACAGGTGGATTTGTTATTTAGAAATAACAACCGTAACTGGACTTACGTACAAAGGAACAGGGTTTTTCAATACTATGTTAGGCCCTGGGAAACCTGGCCTGATCCTGACGTGTGCGCACAATTTGTACATCCACAATCATGGAGGCTATGCAAAGAAGATCAGAGTGTACCCTGGAAGAGACATGGGGAACACTCCATACGGGCACTTCACTGTGTATCCGGAGTGTTTCAAAGTCCCGGATGCTTGGCTAGAATCCAAATCACCAGAGTACGATTACGGGGCTCTTTTCGTCACAGATCCAAACCTTATCCCTAAAGCGGTGTACGGTTTTGGATATAGGCTTCTAGATGATTCTGATTTAGAAAAACGTGTGATAACAATAGCTGGTTACCCTGGCGATAAACCGGATGGTACTCTTTGGGTTGCCGGGGGAACGATTGGTCGCGTGTTGCCGTATGCCGTCCATTACGACAACGACACGGAAGGAGGTCAAAGCGGTAGCCCCGTGTGGACTTGGGACAAATATAACTGGATGGTGGTCGGAATTCACGGATATGGAGGAAGCATGCGGAACTCAGCTCGTCGGCTGACAGCGGACTTGGTCAGGCAGGTTTACGCTTGGTCTGAGGATTTGCCCACGGCAACAAGTGACCGACATTCAATGACCTCTTTTCGCAGTAGTAGTTATCGTTGGATGAGGATCACAAGTAGAAGTGGGAGAGAAACAACTGTTTAATGAGATTATTAGACACGTGAAGTTTTATGACATCACAAAATGCACACGTGTTGGCGTGGACAGAAACTTGTTTATCTGTCTATATACTGTACAACTGTATACGTACATGTACTACAGGGTACATGCATTACGACGTTTTTTGCATCATTACTTAACGAATTTGTGTAAAAATCTAAACGACAGCATTCAAGCAGTAAAATTCATGTAAAATGTGGTTAGTCATTCATATAGCATAACTGTTTTATCATGTTGCTACCTCCATATTAATTTTTAACTTTTTACGATTTAAACCTTTATCATTATTGAAAGATCATTTATGCACAGTATTCAGTATTCAATTTTTTATTCACCTCTAAATATCAGTGGCATCTTAAGAGTTGAGTACGTGTTGTGCCGGCATTAAAATCAATCAATATCGAATTCTAATGGATTCTGATTAACAAAAAGGCACTGCAAAATTACATATTTCTTTACCCCTCGTACAATGTGTCCGTGTCTTTAAATAAGTCCATAAAATAGCTGTGTGGACGCTACGCAAGTACGTAGTGCTTTACAGGCTTCAAAATCTATTCCTACACGGTTGGCATTAATATTGAAGGACACCAACAGAGAGACACCACACATTAAAAAAAAAAACGCCCATTGACCAATCAAAAACTTCCAAACACCCTGATCACGTTGTGAGGTCAATGTCAACCTTTCTGATATTGCTATAGAGACACTAGCACATCTGAAGCACTTCCGGTGTATTACTGCATAAGTGAACAGTTATCAGTGTGCCACTTCCTGAATCCTGCTCGTGACATGAGGTGCAGCATACCGGTAGGTTATTCTAAAAAGAAAAAACATTAGGTTTTAAGAATCAATGACAGAGCTTTAAATATTTATTTTAAAGTTTAAGGCATAAATGGTGAGCCATTTAAATTACCCTTTCATTATGTTGTGTTATCTTAAATTGTTGTTGATATAAAATTTGAATTTAAATGTATATTAAATTTGCTTCTAGTAGAAGCAAAATGTTTGCCATTTTCCTTTTCTTATGTATAAGGGTTTACCTTTAGTCCTACATGTAATTGCCCTTTGTTTATTTGTTATTGCTACTTAGAGAATATTATTTTGGTATCTGAAATTATATATATCACGCTGTTGATTTTTTTAGTTTTTTTTATTATGTTTTATTTTAGTTTTTACAACAGTGCTGCACTGTAAATTTCTGGAGTGAAATAAACAGGAAGCCAGGATATTACTTATGCCTTTATATCATCAGATCTATAGCCTTTGCGTGCTACACAAGCGATTTTTGCAATGAATAATTGTCTAACACATTCACCTGTAATACCTATTTCTCTTTGCTGCATATTTTCAATTTTTATATTTTCAGTTCCATGAACTACCTATAGCATCACTTCTACTGGAAATATCCTTCAACGTGTCGGCTGTGCTACTATAGTCATTTTTCTACGCAACGTATCGTTATATATAAATATAAAACCATCAATTGGTTAAACAACTAAATTATAAAGGTTAAACTCTGATGACCATGAAATCTTCTCGATTTCGCAGAATCACTGTAATTGGATTCACTGTCGTCTGCTTGATAGCAATGCTGTTTTGGAAGGAGCCAATCCGCGACCACGTCACGTATCTTGTACCGGTATTGGACAACGCGAATGACAAATCGCCATGGGACTCTGTCCCGACGCTTGAAATTTTCCTCCGCATGTTCCACAAAACTTATCCTCTTTACGAGAAGATATTCAGACCAAGCGTGGTTTTATTCTGGCCGCCCCAAATACGTGTGATGGTTATCTTAGACAACGAATCAAAAGAGGATCATGCGCTGGAAAAAGCAATTAGAGACAGTCCGCAATATCCAAAAGTTTTCTTTGAAGATCCTAACCCAGAAGTTTACAACAATATCGGTCCAGACCGTATGCAGAGGTCGATGTTTTATCCCGAAAATTACACCAAGGCCGAGTACGTCGGCTATGTGGATACATACACTCTGTTCGTGACGGTTGTAACGCCCGAAGATCTTTTTACAGACGGTAAGCCCATCGTAATCGGAGTCGTCGGCCAGTTTCTTAACGAATTTTGGCGAGATCTAACAATGAAGCATTCCAAATTATTCAGAACCGGAGAGGTCATGAAATGCATGTCCTACTTCCCCGTAATCATGAAAGTGAAATATATTATTGAATGCCGCCATTACCTAGAGCGGTTACATAAGAAATCTTTTGATGCTATCATCAAAGAAATGTCAGCCAATCGACGCTTTTCTCAATTCAGCATAATGTGTCAGTGCATTTACACGCTTCATCGCAATGAGTACGTCTTTCACCTCCATCCGCGTCCAAACTGGAACTTCAAAGGCAATCTCCCCGGGAGAGTACCACCCCAATTCTACAAAGAAAACTTCACACCTGAAGAACGTACGCCTACCGTCAGAACCTCGATACATTGGAAATTCCATTCACTACCCAAAAAAGAACTGCTAAAATCTCCGTACAACATGGAGACATATTACCCTCAAGCTCTTTTGATGGGAATTTGCTATTCCGGTGGGTTTGATATGTGTCCGTCACACTGTAGATTTTTCAATAGGAGTGCCATTCAAAGAGACATGTTTAATTATGAATGGACGGACTGGACTTGGCACCCCGATTGTATGGCAGCCCAAAAGAGACATTACGAGGAAGTGGACCGTTTGTTGACATATTACAAATCACACGGGATGCCTATTTTTGGCGATAAAAATGTCACCGCTGTTTGTGATCAAATTTATAACATGCTTCCGTTAGATAAGAAGTATCAATCTAATGCCCAGATTAAGACCTAATCTACCAAAAGTAAGTTTAATTCTGAGATCAACCAAGACCCAATCTAAGATCAAGACCAAGGCTTGATTTTCCAGTGATGTACACTTTTTTGCAAGAAGCATTGTACTGGTACTTAATGTCAGTCAACATTCGAAGGCAAATAACTGATTTGGACAGGAGTGAAAAGACAGATACTATATACAGATAAATTATACACTGTGTTGAATTAACTATTTGCATTTTCAGTGTGGGACTTGACTCCCACGGGCAAATTTTCTTAATGTCCATATTATTTATAGCAGATAATTAAAAATTGGTGGTAATTATACAGTTAATCATTATGTAACACTGTATCAAAAAACCTACTTTGTGCACTGCCACCACAATCGTTATAAAAAAAAAGAAAACTGTGTGACTCATTATTTTTTAACTTTACTCAAATTAGAATACTAGCTCTATTGGAGTATCATTTGTTTTTGAATTTATGCAATCTTTTGTGAAATTTTCTCATTCTGGCAATTTAAAAGTATGGACTTGAACTCCCATGAGCCCGAAGCCTTATGCTAATAGTTACACATTTTTCTTGGATAGGTCTTAACTGTTGTGATTAATTAATTAGATTTTAAGTAGATTAATTATATGTTGACTTTGCGGTTAAGCATAATGTATTATTGCATCAGAATTGACAGAAGCCTATTTTGTGCATTATTATTTTCTGCCTTTTGTCTGTACATTTGATAGCTTTGATAGCTTTTCCTTTTTTGGCATGAATTTGAAAAAATGCATTTTGAATATTTTAAGGAAAATCTGCAATCTAGCTGAAACAACTAACTGTGAAAAATGATGTTTCCTTTGCCACTACTACAAGATGCTTTTTATTGTATATAAACATCGTTGATTCCTTTTCATAACCGCTTCGAAAAAGGCACGAATAATTGTTTTATAAGGATGCAATACAGCACAATCTCATTAAAATATGCATCAATCTGGAGAACAAAGTAAAATAGTAAATAAATGACATGAAAGAATATAAAGGCGTTGTTGTTTCTACCTGGCGTAACATCTAAAGCAAAAGTCAATACCATCATCACACAAACACTCGTTAATCTGGCTAACATACCAACGCTGTCTTCTGCGGGGCCCTCGTCTCTTTGTCCAGTGACACAGGCAAATATAGACGTGACGAAATACTAGATAACCCGGTCCATTTTGTTTCCTTAATTTCACAAATGCGACTGAGAGGGTGTGCAACCATGTGAACAGCCAAAAAACCTGGTGAAAACTTTACTTTTCGTCCCCTCGCTGGCGGAGGTCTTGTTAATTTTTAATTGAACTGACTGTGGGACATCACACAGAATTTTACCCAATGTACGTCTAGTAAAAAAGCTTGTACTGTCAAGTTTTATCCAGTTAGTGTCCCTGATATGCCCTCTGACATATACAGCGGTGACATTGCACTGCAACAATCTTTCAAATTTCTGAACATGAAATTCCTTATATCTATATAAATATCTCAGACGGTTAAATCAGGATTAATCTCTCCATACAACATCGCTTAACAATTTTGTGACATAGGCACTCTTTCTTAATGGTTCAATTAATCGACCTCCACATAATCGTTGTGCTGCAAAACTCTGTATTAACCTGCTTAAACCCCCTTTACATTGGACGGCGTCCTTTCTGCGTCCAGCAGTACGGCCCCATTTGAGAGTTAAAGAAGTATAATACTTTACGTGCCGACAACTGGCAGATCATTGAGCATTCATTCTGATACAAAATCAATGCTCATGCCTCCTTATTAAGACCACAGCGATGCCAAATTTCATGGTCGCAGAAAGGACGCAGAAGGGACGCCGTCCAGTGTAAAGGGGGCTTTACAGACAAGTCTATAAAAGATAAGGCCACCGACGCTCGGCCCCTTTGTCCACAGAGTGCAGCGGTGTACTCCCATTCATTTTCACACACTTCGCTAGCCTTTGGAATGTCAAATAATCTTGGGGTAATTTTAGACACAATAAGTGAATCCCAGTGTGTTGCACAAGGTCATCTCAGGTCACTGCCACTATCCCTGGGTGTGTTTTAATCTAGAAATAGTTCTTTACATGTGGTAAATCACTGGGCATAGTGTCTTTTTCTGTTAGAGAGTCTTACGTAAAACTGCAAACAATATTATTTCATGTTGTTATATTCAAGGACAGAGAGAACATTTTAGTTTGTGTAGCTGTTTATTTTCTAAATGAATGCAAAATCCGTCGATTTATGAAAGGACTACTTAGCAAAGAGTACCATGCGTATCTAATAGCGTGGTGCAAAGTAACATGAGAGAAAAGGATATGAACTTGCGCCTTGTTTCGTTGGAAAAAGAAGGTAAATATAATGGATAATTAAATTCTATACTCAGTATTAGCTTACTGAACTAACGGCGTCATATTTATGATACATGTAAAATAAGATATGTACATGTAAATTCATCCTTGACAGTCACATTTTAATAGTATGTTGAAGTTGACTCAACTTAGAAGCGTCTCGTCGTCTGTGTCAAAGGATTTTTGTACCCCAATCGCGTCTAGAGATCAGTAAGTGTAGAATTTTCTCCCCTAGAATTGTATTCCGCGTTTTATATCTCAAGGAACTTACATGTGGTTGAAATGCCAGATCTGGTTTTTTGGACAAGGTCGAGATAATTCCATCAGTATATGAAGGGTCTACTTTCATGGCTTTCTTATGATTATGACCTTGAAAACTGAGTGTTTATGCAGTATGCTTTACATTGTACGGGTGTAAACAGTTGATTCACATTTTCTCTTAACTTATTTTGATGACTTTGAGCAAAGTTTTCTTTACTATTCTAGTGATTAAGGTTAGCAAAAATAATTATTGAAGATGTGAAATAACGGTGTTGTCTTCATATTATGTTAGAGGAGACATAGCGTTGTCCCTCTGGTGGCAGGTTTGAGTATAATCACGTGATGCCTCCATGTTGGAGGAATGAATTGTGCCTCCATACAATTGGTTCATGCAAATTTCTCAGCAAGCTTATTGAAAAAAGTAGCAACCAGAGGCTTTTTAAGATTTATCAGCTGGCAGCAAAATGATTTCTTACTAATTTCAAATTCTGTAAGGTTAGGTAAAACCGTAGTGAAACAAAGATTGGGAGTCTTTTAAGTTGGGGCAACGTTTATAAGCTGTAATATATTATTTTTTCTACTTAACGGATTTAAGCCAACTCAAAATATGAGGTATGTGTTCAGTGCAATATTCAAAAATGAAGCAGGATACAGTTCAATTATTAGAGCAATAATGAGAAAAACTTTTTCCTGACTGTTGTTGGCTATTTTGGGTATTAAACGGTCCCAGCACTTTTCCAAATACAAAAAGAAACCGTACTGACCTGTTTCTTTTGCACAAAACTAAAATAGTGGTGTGGTCCAATATTATAGTTCTGTTGCACAGAAATGACCACTTTTGAATGGGTATGGAAATGATTCTTTTTTCAATGGGTATTGGCGGAAATTTAAAAAAAAAGTCGTGATGTTTTATTTTTAGGGGGATTCAGGGGGTGTCAGGGGGGTCCTGACTATGAGAAGTTTCGAGAAGACACACATTCTAAAGTGACCAGTGCTATGACCTGTGGGGCTACAGGTTTAGTTTAAAAAACCGACGGCCAGTGCTGTCAAAGTCTACGGGACGGTCATTGTTCGTTCTCTTTTATTAAGACGTTGTTGTTTTTCTTGCACACCCCCCACTCCCCATTCACACATACACTATAACCCTGAAACAACTGTGAAAAAAGATGTTTCCTTTGCCACTACTACAAGATGCTTTTTATTGTATATAAACATCGTTGATTCCTTTTCAAAACCGTTTTACAAAAGGTACGGTTGAGGATATTTTTGAAGATTAAAAAACAACAAGGGCGGAAATAAATAAATAAATAATAATTTTAATATGACGAAAAAATACTGTACAAACAAATGTAGAATAAAATAGATATAAAATGGAAAAGATTGATATTGTTAAGTCACTGAAATAGACGAGGTACTGCTAAGCCGAGGTTCGGTAGATCGTGCCGTGGGCCGCTGAGACGAGGTGCTGCAGAGCCGTGGGTCGGTAGATCGTGTCGTGGGCCGCTGAGACGAGGTGCTGCAGACCTGTGGGTCGGTAGATCGTGCCGTGGGCCGCCGAGACGAGGTGCTGCAGAGCCGTGGGTCGGTAGATCGTGCTGTGGGCCGCTGAGACGAAGTGCTGCAGAGCCGTGGGTCGGTTGTGCAATGCGTTTCCTGTGGTCAGATGATCTACGCATTGAACAACCTGACACATACCAGATGTGTGTTCATCCATTTCGTGCCAAGTCGTCTCCCACATGTGCCAACTACCCGCAAGAAAACGCAGTAGATACTCCAGCGCAGTAGACTACTGCAATCATACTGCAAACATGCTTCAAATCTGCTTCGATTGGGGAGCTAATTAGCATATTTGAAACATGCTTCTATCATGCTGCTAATCTACTGCATTAATGCTCCTCTCTGTACAAACCTATGTACTTTTTGGAGTAGAATTGCAGTAGGCCATGCTGCATTTCTACTGCAAATATGCTCCACACCACTACTGCGTTAATGCTTTTTTGCTACTTCGATACTACTGCATTTTCGTGCGGGTATGCTTTGCGCCGCACAGCGACTGACAGCGCCAAGTGCTTTATCTAGCTTAAAGGACGATTCCATAACCCTGTGCACTGGTGCGTGAAATGTGCACGCAATGGATTCAGAATTGTGATTAAAACGTGATATAATTTATTTTTTCAAACAAACATATAATGGAAAGTGATATTGATAAGAGAAAAAGGCTGAATTATTTAACCACTTTGATTGAACATTGGAGTGAGTTCGCGATGTTGCAATTATCATGATGCCTGTACATTTAAAGAAACATTCTCGGTGTTATGTGTTAGTTTAATATGTGTCAAAACAGGCTGTAAATATGGCTTCATGTCGAATCCTACACGGTTGCCATAGTTTCTGAAGGATACCAACCGGGAGGTACCTCACATAACATAAAGATATATAGTATGCCAAATGACTTTGAACTGCCCTTTCATTATGTTGTGTTATCTTGAATTGTTGTTCAAGTTAAGTATAAATTAAAATACTTTAAACTGTTCTAGTATCTACAGGTAGATATTTGCCATTTTCTTTTTCGTATGATTTACCCTTGTTCCTACATATAATAGCCCTTTGTTCATTTCTAATAACTATTTGTAGATTATTATTTTGGTATAGGCAATGGCATATA